AAGATTGACATTAAAAAAAATTATGGCTAAGTAAAATGTTATTGCCTGGGTGGAAAGGAAACTGATCATAGGTAAGTACAAAATCTCAGAAACTTTAAGGTATTTTCTATTTCATCTGATTTTTTAAATTTACAGTTGGTTGAGGAAAAGGGCCACCTTATCATGGGAAGGTGGAATAATGGGAAGAAAAGACTGAGATTATGAAAGAAGCACTCAGAAACACTAACAACATCAAGAAGAAATGGCAATAACATGCATATTAATTTTACTAAGGTAAAATTATTGAGCTACTGGCTAGTTTAAGAGTTGTTGTGGAGGTCATAAATTCGTAGCATTTGAGGGAGAGTTATTAGATTACCTGTCTATTAATCAAAAAGGAAAAGAAATCCCTGATAACTAAGGAGCTGCCACCTGAACCTCGATGCTTTCAAAGAGGAGTACAAATCATCAGACAGTCAATTTTCAGTCACAGGGACTGCGAACAGAGTAGGGGAAGACATGCCTTTCAGGGTATAATTGTTTTTCATGATGAAGAGACAGGAGGGGTAGATAAGAGGGACTTTAAGAGGTACAGGCTGCGTGGATTCACTAACACATTTTCATCTTACATAAGAAATAGAACTGTTGACCTCAATGTTGCTGTAAACAGTATGAGTAGTTTTTAAAGTCACTTGAATTAAATGAACTTGTCTTCAAAAATCAAATTCTTCTTATACATTTCAGATATTTAGACATTTTGTCATCTTCGATCACACAGAAATTCTGCCTCTTTTGATGAGCTGAAATTTTCACTGAATTTTCCAGGACTATCATGATATTGAAACACTCTGTACAGTTCTCCCATTCTTCAAGACAGAATATCTATGCACACAAATAATATTCTCAGTCACCTCTTACGAAGATGCCTGCAGGAGGAGAGATCTTGCCAAAATAATCACTCCACTCTGATCATGAGCAAGAGACTCAATCCTGGATACCAGTCTCGCCCATCGATGTGTTTAACATAATTTCTCTAAGAGTGAATTTGTGAGTATCATAAAAAGAAAATAGTCTATCATTCACAAATGTGGTATACATTCATTTGATATTCATTTCCTCAAAACGGAATGGCATGGTTTATCTCATGCAGCTGTAAGTCTCTGAAATGAATCACTCATATGAAAACCACAGAGAGACAGTCATCACTGATCGCTGCTATACTTCATTTTTTCTCAAGGAGAAAGTAGCCAATAATAGAAGATTGTAGTTGTCATCAGGACTTGACCTTATAAAGAAACCGTACTAGAGAAATTCCATAATTCAGTATTAAAACACAACCGTTAGTGCTTTGACAAAACTATATTGCAAAATTACTGTGAAAATCCAAACTACTATAAATTAAATGTACCAATAGAACTTTTTACAAAGTGAAATTTTACTTTTTTAACCAAGAGAATGGTAAGAAATGGAAAATAATAGTCCATAATCCTTGTATCACTGTAACATCTGCTTTGATTAAAAATATGTACAATATAAATTGAAAAATAAAAGTCCCATAATTTATCCTAAACTTAGGTACATTAACAATTCTCCTGTAACTTTTCATTAATATTCTATACAAAACCAGCATCCATATATATTTCAGTTTTTTAAATCTGCTAGCAAAATAGATGCCATCTTGTTTTTATCTATATTTACCTAATAATTGTTTAAAATCATCCCACAGTAGCAGGCAAAAACATGTATAATTTTGAATACGACATAGTAATTCACATTAAATACCATAAATCAATAATATTTGATGGATATTTAGATTTTCACATTGTGTTTGCTTCAGAAAAAGTCCCATTCTAAATGTACATCAAGAATTGACTGAGTCATGAACAGAATCAGAATTTAAGTTAAATGTTAAAAGTCAAAGTGCACATGAGAGTGAAAAAAGAGGATACACCCTCATCAACTTACTTTGACTCTAAAGTTTAGAGCACTGGGGAGGCACCGGTGGTTCGGTGAGTAGGGCGCCAGCCTCATATACCGAAGGTGGCAGGTTCAAAACCTGGCCCAGGCCAAACTGCAACAACAACAACAAAACAAACAAACAAAAAAAACAGCCGGGCTTTGTGGCAGGTGCTTGTAGTCCCAGCTAATCTGGAGGCTGAAGCAAGAGAATCACATACCAGGGGTCCTCAAACTTTTTAAACAGGGGGCCAGTTCACTGTTCCTCAGACCATTGGAGGGCTGGACTGCGGGCCCCAGGATGAGTCAGCTGCTAAGCAGGACAGGCAGCAGTGGCAAAAACACCCAGTGGGCCGGATAAATGTCCTAAGTGGGCTGCATGTGGCCCGTGGGCCATAGTTTGAGGATGCCTGATAAGCCCAAGAGCTGGAGGTTGCTCTGAGCTGTGACACCAGGGCACTCTACCAAGGGTGACAATGTGAGACTCTCTAAAAAAATAAACAAATAAAGCAAAGTTTAGAGCATTAAAAAATAAAGCCTTGGGAGAATTAAATGAGATAATGTTTGAGAGAAGCCCCTAGCTCACTGCTCCTAGACCATCAGGTCTGAAATATGTTCATTTTTTAAGTGGGCCAGAAATGGTGGGTGGGAGCCTGGAGTGGGTGAGGCTTGTCTTCTGGCCTGCAAACAAAGGCCCACCAGAATAGGGGGGACCCATGAGATAGGAAGGAACGAGAAAAATATTCTCAAGAAAGTGAAAATGCCCATTAAGGTGGTAAGGTTAGAAGAATTATTCACAGAAAGATAAAGCAAAGTGAAGCTGGTTCACAGAAAAGGAAGGCACCAGTTAGAGGCAAATGAGAATACTAAGAATCACTCACTTTGTTTATCAGAACTGTGACACTTGCTATAGAGAATCCTTGCTGAAGATGTGCTTTCTTTATGCATAAACCATGAATAGGGTCTTAAAATGTATTATGTGGAAGAAAATATATCCTTTTGAGTTGAAAATAGTATCTTCCTAAAACGTTTCCCAAATCATTGGTTTCTCCAATAGTATTTCCTATTACACAAACCCCAGACCAACTACTCAAGAAAGGAACGTGACAAATTGAAACTTAGGTTCTTGCAACTGCACATTCAGAGATCTGATGTATTGTGACACACACACACAATATAGTAAATTTTGAATCAAACATCATGGGATTATCATTAGTTCCTTTTGCACAAAGAAGTTCAATTTCAGATTGAAAATGTGAAAAGAAACATTATAAGTCAAAGAAGAATTTAATTACTAGGTCTAAAATGAAAAAAAAATTGTTATGACATGAATCTACAAGGATCCTAGGTATCACGCAAGCTATCACTGTTCTCAATAAAGGCAAGAAAGAAAGGTTTAATAAATTCTTACATTTCAATTCCCAAGAAACATAATTTAAAAAGAGCACTAGCCATGTTAGTCAAATATTTTATTTAAATTTAATGATAGAGGTCACTGAAAAAAATTATTGAAGACAAGAACTAAGTCTCTGAGATACTCAGTAACAGTAAAACAATCATCTAATACTTCATGTATTAAATGATTTTAACTATCATGAGAATGATCACCCAGAAATATGTGAATAGCTTTCATCATATTAAAATTAATTAGTGTATGTTTATCATAGTGAATATAATTTGCTAAATAACATTTTAAATGGACTCAATACATTTATGATTATTAAAGTGCCTATCTTCATTGAACATAGGTGTGTTTCTAAGTCATAAAGTGTAACAGCTGATATTTCTTTTGGGGGGAACATTCAAAATATATTTTTAATAGATTCAAATGCAGAGTAAACTTTTTAACAAATTCAAATCCAAAACATGAAGTGTATAAATTAAAATATATTTTAGCCAGGCGCAGTGGCTCACGCATATAATCCCAGCACTGTGGGAGGCTGAGGAGAGAGAATTGCTTGACCTTAGGCGTTCTGAGACTTGCCTGAGCAAGAGTGAGACCCCAACTCAGAAAAAAATGAAAAACCCAGCTGGGTGCCACAGCAAGCACATGTAATCCCAGTGGCTTCCAGAGGCTGAGGCAGCGGGATGCCCACACCCT